GGGCGGACAATGTTGCCGACGCCTGGATTCTGGATATAATCCATCGCGGGTATCAAATCGAATTCACCCAAAGGCCTCCAGTGGCACATTTTGTGAAGACGCAGGTTCCTTCCTCCAGAGAAAAGTTTTGATACTTGCTCGATTATATCAGAGAATTGCAGACGTCTCGAGCAATCATTCCAGTTCCAGCAGAAGTAAGGGGATTAGGAGTGTATTCTCCGATTTTTCTGGTCAAGAAAGCTTCCGGAAAATTCAGGCCCGTTTTGGATCTCAAGTTCCTCAATTCATTCGTAAGGGCACTTCCCTTCAGGATGGAATCATTGGAGACTATCATATCTCTGGTCACCAAGGAGCACTGGCTGGTATCCATAGACCTGGCCGATGCTTATCTGCATGTGCCGATCTTTCTGGGGCATCAGCGGTTTCTCCGTTTTGCGGTGCACGACCGGCATTATCAATTTCGATGCCTTCCATTCGGCCTCTGCACAGCTCCAAGGACCTTCTCAAAACTGCTGTCGGCCCAGGTGGCCATATTACGCACTTGGGGAATTCAAGTGTACCACTACCTGGACGATCTTTTAGTCTTAGCCAATTCCAGGTCTCAAGCGGTTCTTCATCCGGATCAAGTTCTGAGGTCTCTGAGGTCTTTCGGATGGCTGGTGAACGAGCAGAAGAGCTCTTTGAGGCTGTCCAGGCGATTGGAGTATCTGGGGGTTGTATTCGATACAGACCAGGCCAAGGTCTTCCTGCCCCTCAAGAAGGTAAGGACGGTCCAGGGCAGGGCTTCAGAAATGATGCGGACACCATGTCCTTCGGCACGACAATGCATGAGCTTTCTGGGTCTCCTCTCTTCCACAATTCCGGTGGACTAGGGCCATGCGGTCATGGTTAGCCCAGGTGGAGAAGACATGGGAAGATAATGAGCTGTCGGAGGCAACGGCAGCCCTGGATAACCTCAGGTTGGCGGCTGATTTCGTTGCAGAGGCAGCAGTGGATCAGGTCCGGCTGGATGCTAGACTGATGGCGCATTCCGTGACTTCTAGAAGAGCCCTATGGCTGCGTCAATGGTCGGCGGACTCAGCGTCGAAGCAGAGCTTGTGTGCTCTTCCTTTTGCTGGTGGACTGCTGTTTGGGAAAACCTTAGAGGAGGCCATAAAACGTGTTTCTGGCGATAAATCGGGGCTCATACCCCAGGATCGAAGAAAGCAGAGACAGCCCTTTCGGCCAGGCACTGGGCGGTTTTCTAGGGACCGCTTCAGGGAGGCAAAGTCTTATCGACCAGGCAGAGAGTTTTTCCGGGCACCATGGAAATCAGCCCAGCCTTCTTTTGTTAAAGCAAAGTCCAGACCCGCCGGTAATCAGAAACCGTCAGACAAACAGTTCTGAAGGTGTGCCCGTCCAGCCGGGTCCAGTCGGTGCCAGGTTGGCACTGTTTGGGGCGGTTTGGGCGGACAATGTAGCCGACGCCTGACCCAAAGGCCTCCAGTGGCACATTTTGTGAAGACGCAGGTTCCTTCCTCCAGAGAAAAGTTTTGATACTTGCTCGATTATATCAGAGAATTGCAGACGTCTCGAGCAATCATTCCAGTTCCAGCAGAAGTAAGGGGATTAGGAGTGTATTCTCCGACAAAGGCCTCCAGTGGCACATTTTGTGAAGACGCAGGTTCCTTCCTCCAGAGAAAAGTTTTGATACTTGCTCGATTATATCAGAGAATTGCAGACGTCTCGAGCAATCATTCCAGTTCCAGCGGGAGAAAGGGGATTAGGAGTGTATTCTCCGATTTTTCTGGTCAAGAAAGCTTCCGGAAAATTCAGGCCCGTTTTGGATCTCAAGTTCCTCAATTCATTCGTAAGGGCACTTCCCTTCAGGATGGAATCATTGGAGACTATCATATCTCTGGTCACCAAGGAGCACTGGCTGGTATCCATAGACCTGGCCGATGCTTATCTGCATGTGCCGATCTTTCTGGGGCATCAGCGGTTTCTCCGTTTTGCGGTGCACGACCGGCATTATCAATTTCGATGCCTTCCATTCGGCCTCTGCACAGCTCCAAGGACCTTCTCAAAACTGCTGTCGGCCCAGGTGGCCATATTACGCACTTGGGGAATTCAAGTGTACCACTACCTGGACGATCTATTGGTCTTAGCCAATTCCAGGTCTCAAGCGATTCTTCATCGGGATCAGGTTCTGAGGTCTTTGAGGTCTTTCGGATGGCTGGTGAACGAGCAGAAGAGCTCTTTGAGGCCGTCCAGGCGATTGGAGTATCTGGGGGTTGTATTCGACACAGACCAGGCCAAGGTCTTCCTGCCCCTCAAGAAAGTGAGGACGGTCCAGGGCAGGGCTTCAGAAATGATGCGGACACCATGTCCTTCGGCACGACAATGCATGAGCTTTCTGGGTCTCCTCTCTTCCACAATTCCGGTTGTGCCTTGGGCACGATGGCGCAGGCGACTGTTCCAATTCAATTTTCTCCAACAGTGGGATCGCTCGTGCCTTATTCAACGGATTCATCTTCCGGAATTCGTTTGCCAATCGCTGGAGTGGTGGACGGCGGAACCGAATCTGACTCTGGGCAAGTCAGTGGAGACGATCCAGTACATACCCGTAACCACCGATGCCAGCGCAAAGGGCTGGGGGGCAGTGTGTAAGGGGCACCGGGTGCAAGCTCGTTGGCTGGGTCAAGTTCCGGAGAGTTCAAACGTGTTGGAACTGGAAGCAGTGCGGGAAGCTTTGAAGGCGTTGTGTCCTCTAATCTGAGGGTCGGCAGTAAAAGTCTTCTCAGACAACAAGTCGGCAGTAGCCTACGTCCTGAAGCAAGGGGGGACGAGTAGTCTTCCTCTCCTTCAGATAGCGGTTCAGATATTCAGGTGGGCAGAATTAAATTTGCACGACCTGATGGCATGTTATCTTCCGGGGACAGACAATCTCGAGGCAGACAGCCTGAGTCGAGACTTTGCAGACCACAACGAATGGTCGATAAAGAGTTCTTATCTGATTCAAGTATTTCATCTGTGGGGAGTTCCGGAGATCGATCTGATGGCAACAGCCTCAAATGCGAGAGTCCAAAACCTCTTCTCGTGGTTTTACGACCCGGCAGCTCTGGCGCAGGATGCCCTCAGTCAGCAATGGAATTACGGTCTAGTGTACGTGTTCCCTCCGTTCTGCATGATTCTTAAGATTCTTCTGAAGGTCCACAGGGAGGGGGTGCGGGCAATTGCGATCCTGCCCTACTGGCCGAGGAGGCCGTGGTTTCCACTGTTGTGGGAATTGAAGGTGACAGACCCGATGGAGTTGCCCATGAGGCAGGATCTGTTGGAGCAGGCAGGGTTCAGGCATCCAAATCTGAGACGTTTGTGGCTCATGGCCTGGCTACTGAACAGGGCCGTTTAGAAGGTCTGGACATCTCGGAATCGGTCATCCAGACGCTGTTGCAGGCGAGGAAGCCAGCCACGAATGCGGTGTATTCCCGGGTGTGGGCCAGATTTCAGGCGTTTGCAACGGAGAGGCGATTTTATCCCCTCAACGCTTCGGTAGGCAAGATCTTAGAGTTTCTCCAACGGGGGTTGGACTTACAATTGAGTTACAATACCTTGAGAGTGCATCTGTCGGCTCTGGCATCTCTCACGGGCACTAGGTGGGCTTCACAGGCTCTCATCCTCCAATTCATGAAGGGGGTGGCCAAGATCCGGCCTCCTAAGAAGACACTGTTCCCGAAATGGGATCTTTCGTTAGTCCTGAAGGCGTTGTTGCAGTGTCCGTTTGATCCAGTGCAGCCTTCTTCAATGTGGCATCTAACATTGCGCATCATCTTTCTGCTAGCAATTGCTTCTGCCAGAAGAGTATCAGAACTTCATGCTCTGTCAATCAGGGAACCATTCCTATTGGTTCTCCCAAACAGAATCCTGTTGAGGCCTATGCCATCCTTTCTGCCTAAGGTGGCATCCAGTTTCCACAACAACTGGGAAATAGAGTTGTTATCATTCGATTCGTCACAGCTTCCTGAGGAGGAGTTGGAGTACAGTAAATTGGACTTGGTTCGCAGTCTCTCCTTATACCTAGAGAGGACGGCGGAATTCCGCAAAGTGGATAACTTGTTTGTTTTGCCCACGGGCAAAACAAACTCCTAGAGTTTTGTCGAGATGGATTATAAAGGCGATATCCTTGGCATACACAAAAGCGGGTCTTTCCCCTCCAAACGCTATGAAGGCTCATTCCACGAGAGGTATGGCGGCCTCATGGGCCAGTTATGCGAGAGTGCCAGTCGATGCCATTTGCAAGGCAGCCAGTTGGAGCACTCCGAACACTTTTCTCCGGCATTATAAGATCGATGTTCGTTTTGGCACGGAGGATTCCTTAGGTGTATCTATTCTTTCAGCGGCCTTCTCTAAAGGGAGTGTCGTTTAGTCACATTAAATACTTTTTGCAGATTCGTTTGTCTGGTTGAGTTTTTTCCCTCCCTAGGGCATTGCTTTCACATCCCACAGTAGGCTGACATGAGGAGGGCCAGGAATACGGAAAATTGTTATCATACTTACCGTAATTTTCCTTTCCTGGCTCCTCCTCATGTCAGCCTGACGGTCCCCCCCATTTTTTATGGCCATCGCGAGTACATGTTATGGAACATAGGAGGGTATGGGAGGCCTCCTTTTATTCTCTATTAGGGAGGTCCTAAGGGGGGTCATGAGGGCGGGGATGACCCACAGTAGGCTGACATGAGGAGGAGCCAGGAAAGGAAAATGACGGTAAGTATGATAACAATTTTCCGTAATATATATACATAAAAGCACACTGCATATTTCTTGACTCCATTTGTAGGATCAGTTGCAACCAAAAGAGTTCTGAGCAAAGCCAATGTGCATTGTGCCTTTGCCAATAGCAAAATATGTGTTTATGAATGTCAATAACTGAATGATAATAATTGTTAGCATTTTATGTTGGCAGATTTACATACTCTTGAACTTGAGATTTCTCATGCAAGTTTAATTTCACTTTTTTTCAGGTCTTACAGGAATCTCCAGAGCTTATAGAGATTTTTACTGATGACTGCCATGGACTTATGCAATTGTATGGAAAATCATCACTCACAGATGACAAAACAGGTTTGCAATCAAAAACTAAAAAACAAACTCAAAACCAGAAAGCATGCAGTCTAATAACCACTATTATACACATACTAGATCCTTAACAACACAAACTGCTTGTTTTTTTAACAGTATGAAATGTTTGATCAGATTTGATAAATGTTCACAGTAAGCCTTATTTGCAAACATCTTCTAATCAAAGCTGTATACAGATCAAAGAACAGCTGCTTTAAAATGCTACAAAAAAATGGAAATCATAAATGATGACATAAAGCACTGATTTTTTCAAAGAATTTCTAAAAGCTCCACTGGGGAGGTGTATCAGTTCATACACAAACACCCCTACTTTGATCTGCTGTTCCATCCTTCAGAATCTATTTGTGTATCCGCTGCAAGCACAACATCTAACTAAATGCATCTTTCATTAGTGATTCCGATAGCCCCTCTAGTTCCACTAGTTGTGCTGCTTGTACTTTCCCTTCAAAACATTCTAAAATGGTTTCAGTCATAGCATACTTAGAAAACTGTAAACATGGACTATTTTTAAACCTAATTCTTTATATCTCCCTTAACATAAGAATAGCTTCCTTTGTTAACTTTGCACATTTCATTTAGTTGTGTTTATGATATAATACAAAACCAAGTTATTAAAGTTGAACTCCAAGCAAACTGTGATGAAATACAGAGATGATAAACATATTAATTGCAAACATTTTCAATAGTACATAATAATTTATGCTTCTGGTCCATAACGAAGATTTCCCTTTCTGGAAGTGTTGGATCTCTGCTCCAGCTTCCACTCTCTGTTCTACCAACTCCCTTTCCCCATCACCCCCGCAAGTCTCTTGTGTGCGCTCTGTTGTCAACTCCAGTCATATGAGATAACACTAAGCTGGGAGCCGACAGCAGCAGCAAGAGCTGGTCAGGAAATGTGAATGATCAAGAAAGAACATTAGAAAAGCCCTGCTGCCGACTTCCCTGTTTGCAATTACCCCAACCAGCCTAGTGTTATCTCCTGTGCACATGGCTCATTGCGGAACTCACAAAGACAGAGATCCTACATTTCCAGTAAGTATGGGAGATCTGCAAAATGTATAGACATTCCTACATTAAATAAAAGGAACATTTTGAATAATTTTTGTTGCAGACTGCAGACTACTGCAGATTTTAAATTCTAAAATGATCCGTTGCCAGTTGCACACCATTCAGCTTTGTGACTGATGGTAACAGAGATGGAGCTCATAGTGACCGCAACGGGTGATGCCGTGCAGAGCCTCAGGTATTTGAAGATATGTCACCAGCTCTCAGCGATTCAATATGCAATAAAGATAGATTTATTGTAAATTATGTCACATAGTTAAAAATGCCAATGTTTCAGGGCAATGCAGGGTCTCTTTATCAAGGCGACACAGTTTCCTACTAAGAAACCATACGTGACCAGAGGATATAGGCAGAGGAGGAGTCTCCCAATGAACATCTTTCTAGCTTCAGGCAGTTTTGCTATCTCTGCAGCATTCTGGATCATCCTGCTGGTCTTGTCTGCTTCATCCAAATTTTCTGTGACTTTGTGGGATCTGAATCTGGTTCTCACTGCACTACAAAGACCGCAATTTGAACCCAGTAGAGAGATTTTCCCTCTACTCTCATCAAAAGGTGGTATTTTTTGTAGCCATAATCTCTCCGTAAAGCAAATACCTGTATGAGCAGCCTTTTCTTGCAATAAACCTTTCTGGTTTAGCATATGGACTAGGTCGTGTTAAGGCAGAGGATTTCCTTCTTGTATAAGGTGGTTTTGCCTTTCATCTGAACCAGGACATTCTTCTTCCAACCCTCTATCTGGCTTAAGTTCTTCACAAGGAAAAAATTCCTCTATTGTATGGATATGTTTTGCGCTTTTAGCGTGATATCTATCAGCCGCTGCTTCCTTTAAGAAGTCTTATTTGCTTTTTAAATCCTGGATGAATCCCATAAGGGTGCAATGGCTTTCCGTTGCGCCATCTTGGGGTGGCTCAGGCAGACCAACATCCAGGCTTATGGTCTAAATGATCGGGTCCTACCCTTTCCTGTCAAGGGGTAACTCTCCTAGATCAGTGAGTGTTTCTTGGTCTTATGGCACTAAGCCAATTTATCCAGATTTGCAAGGTTGTCGCCTGGTCTTCTGTTCTGTTCTACCTGGCAAATGTTCAGGCCTCATCAGATACCAACATTAGGCCCTTCAGATGCTTCATTGAGCTACCCCAGTTTTCTGTTGCAGTGGATTTATATCCACCCAACAGCGGTTTCACTTTTCCCTCCACAGCTACCACTAATTTACTATGCAGCTATAAGCATAGCATTGAACAGATTGATATCAGCGCCATGCTATGCTTATAATGCCAGTTCTCTGGTGACATCACACACCAAGCGTTATCACCCACCATTAAAGCTTTTTCCGAGCACCAAATCAAAGTTGAATTTTTTGCCTGAGAGCCAATGCAAAGGTAAAGTTATGCCCTGAGCACCAATGCAGCATTGGAGTTTTGCAATGAGTATTAATGCAGAGTGAGTTTTGCAATCAGCACTGATGGAAAGTGTTATCACTGAGCTCTAACCTTTCCCTGCTTTGCTTAAAAGATGCATTTTTTCTATTGCTGTTGGAGATTTTCCTGTCTTGTGAAAACCTTGACACTGAAACAGTTAAGGAAGAAACATCTCTCTAATGATTTCCCGGGTAGCAGCAAAAATTTGACAATGGTATTAATCCTTCTCTATTCAATACAAAACTACAATAAAAAGGTTTTGGCTGGATTTAGCCATTCATATGGGTCTCCTGTGTTTGTTTTATTTAAATGTAGGAGAAATGTATCTGGAAAGTTTAAAAATACTTTATACTTCCCAGATCAATTTCACCTGAGTTTAAATGTACATGTGTTTACACTCATCCGCACATGCTCAGAGTATCTAATCTGCTTCTGGATGCACAGATTTTAATTTTTTTCTAAACTCAGCTAAAATGAATGACTGAATTCAGGTAAATGTACAGTGCACATTATAAAATTTAAACCCATTACATGCATTTAATGATGTTCAGAAAAGTCCTATAAACATGTGTAAATGCAAGCCCATGTGGATGAGGCACACTTGTTTTAAGTAACACCTAAATATCATATTTTTCACAGTTAAATTGCATGCATGCATGTGTGTAGAAGGTGCTTTTAACTCAAAAGACATCGTCTAAAACAATTTAGGGATTTTTTTACACCTAACTTTATCATCTGTGTATGCATAAAAATTTAACATTCAATACTGTAATCTATCTAAAACATGTTTTCAAATTTTGTAGGAACTGCTAGCACCTTTGAGTTTGATAGTGGAATAACCTATGGACAACTTCAGGTGAGAGAAATTATAAAAAGTAATGTTCTGCCATGTAATCCCAAACTATTTATTGTGTATGTAGTTCAGACCTAATCATACAAATTACAAATTATTTCTGCATAAAGAACAATTGAGCTATACAAGTACCAATCAAATTGTTTAATTAACCAATCATTAAAATATTTTGATTGAATGTAGCAAGTATCAATCAGTTTTCACCACTTTTTTTGATCCCTTTTGTCCCATATTGTGGCATTGAGTGGAAGATGAAAATTACAAGATGGTTTAAAAAATTCTGATTGCGAAGGTCACTCAGGAAGTCCTTTATTACAACATCATTTTGATCAATTTTGACTCAGAGAAAGTGCTATTTTTATACTTTCTGGCTGAACAAACCAAAGAAATTCTTTGTGGCAGTCATTGACATTTGATCAACTATTCATCATTAAAAATAATTGTATCAATAAGAGGCACATTTTCCATTGGTTGTGAACAGAATAGTTGTTTTTGACATTCAGTGAATTAAATAATTGGTTTCAATGGTCAGATAAAAAAAATTGATGTATCTACGGCCAGCTGTAGGGTACCAAAGGGGCTTAAACTCAGATTCATATTGAGTGCAGTGATGCCCAAATACATATCCTCTGTTCATCCAAATAACTGGTTGGTCTAACTGAATCTGTCCACTGTTGCTGTGAATGGTAATTTTGAACATTGATCATTTGGTTTGTTTGACAAGAAATTACACAAATACTACTCCCTATAAAGTGAGATCAATCAAAAGTTTCCTAATGCTGGGCACACACCTTTCAACCATCGCAAGACTTTTGTCTTGCGATGGTTGTAAGGTACTTAAAAAAACGTACGATCTGCCTATCTTGGACAGGCAGATCGTACTTGCGATGATCGCAAGCCGTGCCCCCCTGGTGGGCGGGCTTCCGATGACCGCAATGCCGAACGGGCAGTGTGCGCTTGCGCACATCGGCCCGTCCGGCTTTTATCTTACGAACATGCTACAAACCCGCCGAACATCGCACGATGCTCGGCGGGTTTTTGAACATGTTCGTAAATTAAAAGTCGTGCGACCTTACAGTAGTAGAGGTTGCACGGCTTCCACACACCTTACGATAATCGTACGATCGCGGGATTTCCATCGATTATCGTACGATTATCGTAAGGTGTGTGGGCACCCTAAGACAAATGAGAGAAAAAGAATTTCCCAGTTCAATATTTTCATCATAGATTCAGTTCTATTAAATCGGTTGAAAGGGACTAAAAGACAAGCAATATGTGCTAGATTCAACTGAAATATTGAAGCTTTTGTTTTATCAAATGAATGATATATTTACAAACTATACAATGGAACAAGATTTTATAAACCTAACACACATTGATAATTTAATTTCCATCTAGCTGATCTCTTTTACATGTATATCTCTAAAAATACTGAGGGGACTATACACCTCCTGTAATGAGTTTATTATTGGTTATTATCTTGGTAGATCAAGCTGAACGCCATCCTTACTTTTTTCACAAATTTTTAGCTGGCCCTCTCCAGTATTGAATCTGATTACTCTCAATTACCTGCACACTTTCATCTCCACCCTGCCCTACCTTTCTGAAAAGACTGCTGTTTATGCCCCTCATTCAATATACATGTAGCAAAGAAAAATAATACTACACCCAAATCTTTATACTTGTAAGTTGTGTTCTAAACTCCTGCTGCTTTGATATTTTTTTTAGAACATGATTGAAGAAGTCTTAGAAGACAGTGGATACTATAATTTAACTCTGAACAGGTATGTATCATATGGGGAATAAATCAAAGCTTTGCAAGCAATTTTAGATTCCAAAAAAAAGAGATTTCCTTTTTATTGAAATGTTAAAATCATTTTAAAATTCAAGGAGTAGTCACATTCATTGTGGAGTTCCCTTTGACCAAAGCTGTATTTAGACAGAAGGATCCAGGAGAGGGGCAAATGGGAAATGTTGTGGTTTGTTGCTGGCCCTTTCATCCCTACTGGTGTATGAGGACTCAAAGACCTTTTAAAAAGGCTCTAAAGGAGGGTCCAAACATTGATGTTCCTATGCAGAAATGCCCAATAAAAAGACAAATATAGGTGGTTTAGGAGGGTTATTCTAGGCGGTGCAGAGTGTGAGCAATTCTACCTAAACAGTCTAAAATGAAACTCAATCTTTGAAAATAAGAACAGATCAACTACACACATTGCAAGGGTTTTTGCAAACTTTATTAATGAGTATTACCTTCTTCTGTCCTGAATATAATATAAGGAAGGGAGTCAAGTGTGTAAAAAAAACTACATACCCCATCATAAATCAGCGCTATGTGGCTGTGGGAATGGTGTTTAGCACTATCCCTATTCTATGTATTACTCTGCGCAAAAGTGTACTTTAAAGTAACCCTGTGTTCACTTCAAGGCCTCATTCACACGAGAAAAGGCCGGCACGTACAGCTCCGTGCGGCATGCACGGCCGTATAGGGCAGGTTTTGGGAAGGACAGGTGCTGTGTGTGATTAGTACGCAGCCCCTGTCCTTCTCTACGGGAGTATGTGGCCGTACGCCACCCTACGCTCACCCCAAGTGCAGGTCCGTATGGGTGTCCCGGCTCGTACACAGACAGGATCCATCCTGTTGCCGTGCACGCAGCACGGCGCTATACGTGTTTTGAATGAGGCCTTTTCTCGTTTGAATGAGGCCTGAAGCTGCTAAGCTACAGGCAAAGCTGTGCAGTGTACACTCCAGCACTATTTGGCATGCTAAAAATAGTGGTGGGGGCAGAAGACAATGTAACTCTTGCATGCATGGTAGGTGATACATTGTCAGTGGTCGCCCAATGGCTAAAGAGAGCTGAAGAGGATCCTGGACATGTCATCGCTGGAGAACAGCGCAGAAGGATGTAGGTGGGTGCCTTATTCCAGAATTGGTAGCAAGGAATGCAGCGATAACAGGATCCTGGACATGTCATCGCTGGAGAACAGCGCAGAAGGATGTAGGTGGGTGCCTTATTCCAGAATTGGTAGCAAGGAATGCAGCGATAACAGGATCATGGACATGTCATCGCTGGAGAACAGCGCAGAAGGATGCCTTATTCCAGAATTGGTAGCAAGGAATGCAGCGATAACAGGATCTTGGACATGCCATCGCTGGAGAACAGCGCAGAAGGATGTAGGTGGGTGCCTTATTCCAGAATTGTTAGCAAGGAATGCAGTGATAACAGGATCCTGGACATGTCATCGCTGGAGAACAGCGCAGAAGGATGTAGGTGGGTGCCTTATTCCAGAATTGGTAGCAAGGAATGCAGCGATAACAGGATCCAGAACATGTAATCGCTGGAGAACAGCGCAGAAGGATGTAGGAGGGTGCCTTATTTGCAGATTATAGCAAAAGCAAACCCCCCACCAGCGAGTTTACTTCGCCTTTAATCAATCAATCCAGCCACTAAAGATAGCTTACATTAGACAGAGGTCGTTGCAAACTTAGTTCTGTCATTTAAGAGCAGTTTGGCTATTGAGCGAATGTTGGCTTATCCTGTTTACAAAGACACTTAATTATATTTGGATGTTATCATATCTGTCTTTTTCCAGATACTGCACATTCCCAGTGGGAGTCAAGAACATTTGAACAATAAAATAATAATGGCATCCACCTTCAGAAAGAGCCTTGTGACTGCATTTCCCCTCCAAAAGATACAATTGGTATACTAAAGCTGCTTAACCTAGAAGAAGATAATGTGGACCGATAGGAATCCCATTGAAGAATCTTCTGAAGACTTGGATGTGACTGTATTAACTGGACGAGCTGTGCTTGTTTCAAGATGCTTTGCTTAAAGAAATGCTCTATAAATCAAATACTATATCTTTTATATAAAGACTCTATATGCCTCAGTTTCTGTCTGGTAGAACAGTGTATATAAATGCTTTCAACTTTAAATGTATGATACCTGAACAAATGTAATGGACAGAGCAATGGCGCAAATAAAGTTGCATTATTTTGACTGGAACATTGCATATTATTTATTTGTGCATCTTGAGCATTTGGTACATTTGTGATGACAACTTGCAGTAGGTTGAATAAGAACAAAACCGTTTTCAAACCTGGAATAGTGAATTATTCTGTTTTGTGTGAAAACAAAAGGATTATTATATTAAGTTATTTATTATTATTATTATTATTATT